ATGATACAAGGTAAGGAATATTAGAGGCAAAAGAGAGACTCGGATAAAATGATTTAGAAAAATTTAAGGAAGAAAAGAAAGATCACTTTCCTAGTTTATAGATAATATTTGCAAAGTACCTGGCACAGTGCCTGGTGAATAGTAGGTACTTAATACTTGTTTGTTACCTCACCCCAAGTCCAAATGAGGGACCATCGATTTAGGGGTGGATAGCTGCATTCATGTTGTCTAGTGTATAACGCTCTCATTTTAGAGATGAACCTCCAAAGAGGTTAAGTGATTTGCCCAGTGAGGCATAGTTTATAAGGGGCAGGGTCAAAATGTGAACCCAGGCCCTCCGTCTCCGAATCCATCATTCTTTCCATAGAAGCGTGTCTGTCAGCTGGGAGGAGGGATGGGGAAGATGAGATGAGTTCCTAGAACCCTGCTAGCTTGAGTCTTCTGTGGTTCAAACATAGCTTTGGAAACCAGGAAAGGAGTACTAGACCTGGCTCTACCACAAATTTACTATGCTATGTGGCCTTGGACAAGTCACTTTCCCTCCTAGGCCTCATTTTTCCCATCTGTAACATAAAGGGGTTGGATTGGATGACCTCTAAAATCTCTTCCCTTACTAACATTCTGTGATTCTGTTTGTGCGTCCTCCCCTTGCCTCACCCCCAGGCAGAACTGGGACCTATAAAAGGGGGCATTAAAAAGAGGCCAGTTTGAGTTCAGTATAAGGAAGTTCTTCATTGATATCTGCAATGTCAAGAGGTCTAGAGGAATGCCCACCCACCCCATGCCATTAGAGTTTTTATGAGAGAATTCAGATTAGACTGATATGGGAGGAGAGCACATGAATGGGCTATAATTGGCATCACTTGAGGGAATTGATAAAAGAAGGGGAGCACAGATGCCTTAAAGTGTCTAAATACAAGAAAGGAATTCCTAGCTTTGAGAGAGGCAGACAGATAGAGACAGACAGAGATACAGAGACAGAGACAGAAAGAAATAGAGAGCTATCTCATGGAAAAATGGTCTGCCTAAAGAGGGAATGAGATCCTCATTACTTGGGATGTTCAAGTGAAGGCCATCCTCTCCTCAGGATACTATAGCAGTGATGTCTACATTGAAAGGGAAAACTGAGCTCTTTCTCCTAGTCAAGTGGTATTTGTCTATACCTTGGTTAGAGGTGAAGTGGAAAGTTTATTGGATTAAGAGTTGGTAAACCTGTGCCCAGTCATGTGCTAGTAAATGTTTAACAACTGGCACTGCCCCCCCCAAAAAAAGTACACACTACACGCTTTTAATTTTAATTTTAAATTTATTCACATTTTCTCCATCTAAGTCTAGACAATTAACAAACCAATAAATCAAGCCCAGATTTGAAATGAGGTATAAATACTCATACTGAAAATTTAACAATCAGATCTCCAGAGCCTATTGGAGTCAGCTCCAGCATGCCCCTGTTCATCCCACCTTGTGAAAGATGACTGTTCTAAATGAGGATCAAGGGAAACGCAGGGAATCTCTGAGTTGGAAGGAACCTTGGGAGATCATGTCTTCCAACTCATATCTAAACAGAAATCTTCTCTCCAATTCCCCAACAACCCACCAGAGCTCCCTGCTTCCAATGCAGTTCAGCCCACTTTGGAGTCACTGCAATTGTTGAGACGTTCTTCCTTATTTCTAGCTGACCTATTCCTCTCTGTACCTTCCATTCAGTTCTCCTCATTCTGCCAGGTGGGGCCAGGTAGAATATGTTAAATCCCTTTTCCACAAGACAGCCCTTGGAATACCTGGCCTTAGCTATGTGTCCCTTCTGAGTCTGACACTTTAAGCCACACCTCTCCAGAGCCTTCCATCTTAAGACATGGTCTCCAGTACCATTACCATTTTGGTCTCTCTCCTGTAAGTAATAATAGTAATAATAAAAGCTAACATTTATAAGGTTCTTTTTTTTTTTAGGCAATTGGGGTTAAGTGACTTGCCCAGAGTCACACAGTTAGTGAGTGTTATGTGTTTCAGGCTAAATGTGAACTCAGGTTCTCCTGACTCCAGGGCCAGCGCTCTATCCACTGCACCACCTAGCTGCCCCTTATAAAGTTCTTACTATGTGCCAGACAGTGTGCTAAACTGGAATATAGAATGTTAAAGCTGGAAAGGATATAAGAATATAATAATCCTTTGATAAATATTTGTTGATCAATTGACTGACCTTAGAATATACAATGTCAGAGCTGGAAGGGACCTCAGAATTCAATTCAGTAAATATTTATCAAGCACTTACTATATGCAAGGCACCAGGTTTGATTCAGGGGATATAAAGATATGACAGTTGCCTTGCTCTCAAGGAATTTGCCTTCTTACGGTGAAGGAACCTTTCACTATACCTTTCTGTACAATTAACTAGGGAAAAAGGGAGAACAATGGACTTTAAGAGGAGATACCCAAAAGATTCCTCATTTTTGCTTCTTCTAATAATCCCTGGCTTCCATCAGGGCTCAGCTCAGGGATCACCTCCTTCTCAAAGCTTTTCCTGGTCTCTACATTTGTAAGTTCTCTTTGTCTCTGTCTGTCTGTCTCTCTCCTCAAGCTACCTAGAATTGTTAAAGGAGCATTTAAAAATGTACATCTTTTATTTTTAAATATTTTCATCTGTGTGACCCTGAATAAGTTACTTAATCTCTCGGTGTTCTAGGCAATTCTCTAAGACTCTTAAGTTGTAAAGAACATTATAAAGACCTGCATTGGTCCTTACACTGAAGTTCCCTATACCAATGAAATTATAGATCTAGTTCATTTTCTTCTTTCCAGAGCCTAACTCCGTGCCTGGCATGTAGATGGAGACTTATGTGTTTTTTACTTAATGGAAGCAGAGAAATAAGTTAGGAAGCTGTTATAAATCAAAGAATCTACCAACCTGAATGAGAATTCCATCTGTAACGTGCCTTACATGTCATCATCCAATACAAGCAGATATGGAGGCTTCGGTGACGATGATTACAAAAAGACTGATGGATTTGGAGTCAGAGGACCTGGGTTTAAATCCCAGCTCTGCAACTTACTATGTGACCCCTTTGGACCTCAGCTTCCTGATCTGTAAAATGAAGGGATTTGACTAAATTGACTCTAAGGTCCCTTCCAGCTCTGTATCTATGATTCTACGAACTTCCCTAAATTCACCAAATACTGAATACCTTCGGTCTACATTAAAAGCAGACAGAATTCCCAATAAGAGTAAGGAGATGGATCATCCCCTTACATGTGGAACGATAAGTGATTGCACCAGGCGGTGCATGATCTATATTTGAAGGACCAAGCAAGTGCCAGGAACAAACAGAAAGTGCTATGGGAGTTCCAAGTATGAGAGAGCCCTGGCCTAGGAGCCTGGAGACTTGGATTTGAGTCAGGACTCAGCCAGTGAATTCAGCAGAGGGACCTTGGGCAAGTCATTTCCCCTTTCACCTGGGTTCATCTCAGCAATAAATAGAGAGAGTTGGGTCAGATGACTTCACATAAAGTAGGAACAGCTTTCTTCTGCTTGGACCCAGAGAATAGAACTCAGAGCTAAAGCTAGAAGCTTCAGAGAGACAGTTTTAGGCTTAGTTGAAAGAAAACAATCTTCTAGCAGTTAGAAATATCCACCAGTGGAGTAGACTGCGCCAAGAGATGGAAAGATAGCTGTCCCTGGGAGGTCTTCAGTTGGACACCAGATGACTAATTGTCCAGAAGAATAGTCTGATTTAGAGTAAGAAAGCGCTCCAACGACAAGAACATAGAATGTTAGTCCTGGAACAGACTTTAGAGAGGATCTATTCCAACCCTCTCCTGTTGCCAATGAGTAAAGCCAGTCTCAAAAACGACTTGCCTGTGTCCTCTCGCCTCTAATCCCAAGCTCTTTCCCCTTTGAAATTACTTCGTATTTACTTTTTATATTCTTTTATGGGTACGTATTGTCTCTCTTGATAGAGGGAAGATACTGTTTCATTTTCATCTCTGTAGCCCTGGAGTAATGCCAAGCACATAACAGGCGAAGGGAAGGGGAAAGAAGTAAGCATTTATTAAGCACCTACTATGTGCCAGACACTATGCTAATCTAATCTTATTTGATCCTCACAACAACCCCAGGAGATAGGTACCATTATTGTCCCCATTTTACAATTGTGGAAACTAAAGAATTTCATAAGTGCTTATTGGTTGATTAATTATATGCCATTAAAGAGAGAATTTTTATTCAAGTGCCAGCATTAGCTGATCTCTCAGGTCCCTTCCAACTCTGGGATTCTAGGGTTTTATTATTTTTAAGGGACCTCCAAATGAGATACAGAGTGGCATAGTCGATAAAGAGCTGACCTTGGAGCCAGGAAGGCTTGAATTTGAGTACTGCCCTGATGCCTATTGGCCGTGTGACCCTGGGCAAGTCACTTAACCATTCAGTTACTCTGAATGTTCATACTCTGAACAACTCTTTAACATTACAGGTTGCAGAAGAGGTGCTTACTTGCATTGATGAAGGGTGTTCCCTCAGCTAGGAGTTCCTTATACCAATGAAATCAAGGGTTTCTAGTTCCTATTCCCCAAGGGCCCTTCCAGGAGCTCCTGAGTTCTGTGATAAAGTTCAGTGTAGACTGAACCAGTCAGGGAGGACTCCCCAGAATAGGTGGGTCTCAAGCTAGAGACCTCAGGGATGGAGAGATCAAGCAACAAGCATTTATTAAGTGCCTACTGTATGCTAGGCTCTAGGTATACAAAATCAAAAATAAAACAATCCCTGCCCTCACAGAGTTTACATTCTATTAGGGAGACATATGTACAAAGAAATGGATACAAAAATATGTGATACATAAATACAAAGTGTCGTTTGGGTTTTTTTTGAGGGGGGAGGTGGGATCAGGAAAGGCTTCATGTAGAAGACTGAGTTTTAACTGAGTTTTGAAGTAAATGAAGAATTCCGAGAGGCTGGGTGAAGACACCATCCTGAGGACTACTAATATGTGGCTGGTTGGTCTTTCCAGGTGCTGACATGTTCTGCCTTTTCCACGGGAAGCGATATGCCCTGGGGGAGAGCTGGCATCCCTACTTGGAGCCACAGGGGCTGATGTACTGTCTGCGCTGCACCTGTTCTGAGGTAGGTTGGTCCATTCTCCTCCACTGGGCCTGGAAACATAGCCACGGAGACCTACCTAAAATTCCCACAGAGCAGGAACCTCTAGAGATCCTGAGACCCTGCTCGGTCCCCAGTTGTGCCCATCCTCACAGTAGAAGCTCCTGTTCCTCTTGCCCTTGGAAGTTTGCAAAGTGATTCCTTCCAATGGACCACAGGAGGTTACCAGCTGAATTTAACATAATGCTTTATTTATGTGACTTCATTTGATGAGGGGCAGGGTGCTATAGTGGAAAGAGCCCTGTCCTTCTCTGCCACTTAGTGTTTGAATGACCTTGCAAGTCACTTCCCCCACTCTGGGACTGAGTTTCCTCATCTGGATAATAAGGGGGCTGCAGCTCTAAATCAGGACAGCTAGATGGCACAGTAGATAGAGCACAGGCCTGGAGTCAGGAAGACCTGAGTTCAAATCTAACCTCAGACACGTACTAGCTGTGAGACCTTGGGCAAGTCACTTAGCCCTGTTTGCCTGGGTTTCCTCATCTGTAAAATGAGCTGAAGGAAGAAATGGCAAACCACTCTCATATCTTTACAAAGAAAATTACAAATGAGCTCACGAAGAATCAGACCAAACAACAACAAGCAGCGTATAAGTGTTGGAGTTAGCTCTAGATCTGGGATTTTTAATTTCAAGTCAGGTGTTCTTTCCACTGCATCAGTACAAATGTTGTTTGTTATTGTTCTCGGTGTCATTGTTGTTGCTGTTACCAGGCCTAGGACTTCATCAGTCCAGGGAGCTCCCAATGACAATCCCTGGATGCAGACTGGAACCTGCTCTGTAACTTGCACTCTTAGAGTTTGGCCGGCGGCACAGAGAGGTTAGAAGACTTGCCTGTCTGAGGCAGGACTCTAACCCAAATCTTCCTGACTCCGAGGTTAGATCCCTGGCTACCACATACTACCTTTCTTCAGGTATTATTGTCACCATTTTACAGACTCATTCAATTAAGTATGGCATAGTATAAAAAGTGTTAAAGCTGGTCACATCCTAGCTCCAACACGATCAGTTGAAACAATGTGCTTCGTAAACCTTAAGGCGTCATATGAATGTTAGACATTATTACTACATTCATTCAAAATACTTTTGAGATTTCATATTTTATTTTTTAAATTGCATGAAAAATAATTTTTAACATTTATTTTTTAAAATGTTGAGTTTCAACTTCTCTCTTTCCCTCCCTCCCTTCCCACCTTTTTGAAAAGGCAAGCAATTTGATAAAATCCAAACATTGATCAATCTAGTTTCAGGGTCTATACTTGGTTTTGAAGGAGATACCAAGTTTAAGTGAATCCCACACTCTATTAGTGGGGTATGACACACATAGCTAATGCACAGTAATATAGGAGAAGTGCAACAGAGAACTACAAAACAAAGTGTTCTCTCAGGTCTGAGTGGGACTAGTAGTGACTAGTGGGTGGGAATTGAGCAGGAAAAGAGAAAGGAGGCATTTAGACTTGGGAGTCATCCGTATAGTAACAGTTTGAAGTCATGAGAGTGAAGGAGATTGCCTGGGGGAGGAGGGGGCCCAGGATGGATGCTCCAGGAACACTTACTTTTAGGGTCTTGAAAAAGATGAGGATCTAATGAAGGTGACAGAGAAGGAACATTCTGAGAGGCAGAGGGAAAACCCGGGGATTATAATGTCTCTGAAGTTGAAGGAGGAGATGGTACCCAGGAGAAAGGATTGATCAACAACGTCAGAAGTTGCAGAGAGGTCAAGGAGGTGAACAAATGAAAAGAAGTCACTGGATTGAATGACTTTTGAAAGAATAATTTTAGTTAAGTATTGGGGACAGGGGCCAGATTGCAAAGACTTGAAAAGATAGTGAGTAGCGAACAAGTAGAGCATGAGGTAGAGACTTTTCCCGAGAAGTTGGACAGTGAAGAGGAGGAAAGAGATGGGGTAGGGGCTGGATGGGGTAGAATGGAAGCAGCATGGACGAGTGGCAAGGGGGTTGACTTTAGAATCAGAGGACTTTGGTTCAAATCCTGCTCTGGCACTTAATACCTGTGTGACTTTGGGCAAGCCACTTAATGTATCTGTGCCTCAGTTTCTTCATCTGTAAAATGAGGGGGCTGGACTTAATGGTCAATCTCTTCCAGATCTAGATCCTGTGAAAGCTCAAGAGATGGTTCTTTTTAGAGTTAGGGAGACATGTTTGTAAACAAATGGGAAGGAAACAAATGGGAAGTGTCTAGTCTGAGACCAAATTTGAACTCTGGTTCTCCTGACTCCAGTGTCGGTGCTCTATCGACTGTGCCACGTAGCTGTCCCACGGATAGCGTTTTCCATCATGAGTCTTATGGAGTTGTCTTAGGTCCTTGCATTGCTGAGAAGACTGTCTATCAAAGTTAGTCATCAAACAATGTGACTGTTACTGTGTACAACGTTCTCCTGGTTCTGCTCACTTCATTCAGCATCAGTTATATCTTTCCAGGTTTTTCTGAAGTCTGCCTGCTCATCATTTCTTACAGCCCAATAGTATTCTATTACATTCATATACCGCAACTTGTTCAACCGTTCCCCAATTGATGGGCATCCCCTCAATTTCCAATTCTTTGCCATCACAAAAAGAGCTGCTATAAATATTTTTGTGCATATGCTCCTTTCCCCTTTTTTATGCTCTGTTTGGGATACAGACCTAGTAGAGATATTGCTGGATCTAAGGGTATGTACAGTTATATAGCCCTTTGGGCATAGGTCCAAATTGCTCTCCAGAATGGTTGGATCAGCTCACAACTACATGAACAGTGCATCAGTGTTCCAATTTTCCCATAACTTCTCCAGCATCTATAATTTCCCTGTTTTGTCATGTGGTACCTAAGACTTGTTTTGATTTGCATTTCTCTAATCAATAGTGATTTTTCATATGATTTTAGATGGCTTTAATTTCTTCATCTGAAAACTGTCTGTTCATATCCTTTGACCATTTATCAATTAGGGAATGACTTGTATTCTTACAAATTTGACTCAGTTCTCTATATATTTTAGAAATGAGGCCTTTATCAGAGACATTGGTTGTAAAAATTCTTTCAAAGGGGTGCAATTTTAAGAGATGGTGAGGTGTTAGGTGTGACAATGTTGGTATGTGGCTATAATGGGGATGGAGAAGGAGGTAACTGGACTTGAGAGGACTGAGGAATTATGACATCAGATGGTTAGGTCAGTTGTTGATACGAATATTGAAATCCCTGGTTATATTGGAAAGTATGATCATGAGCCAAGTATGGAAGTCATTGAGAGAGCTAGGAAAATGAGACCTGGAGACCAGAGTATGACAGCAACAAGGATTGGGACAGCATATTACAAAGAGGTTGTATGGACTTCAAAAAAAAGAAAGGTTATTGAAAGCTGAAAGTAGAGGAATGATCCCGAAGGGGAGAACCAGCAGAGAGTAAGGCACATGAGAAAAGCTCAGAGAGCTATAAGCGACTGGGTTAAAAATATTCACCTGGCAAGTCTCAGAGCTAAGACATGACCCTGCTGCCATGTTCAGCACTCTTTCTATTCTACCAGCTGCCTCCAATGCCTACAAGCCACACCTGATGGTGATGATGCTGTTTAGATAGCGAGGTGGCACAGTGGAGAAAGCCTTGGACTTGGAATTAGGAAGACTTGAATTCAAGTCCAGCCTCAGACTCTTACTAGCTGAGTGACCCAGGGCTGGTTACTTACCTTCTCTTAAGTTTTCCCACTTTTAAAATAGAGATAATAGCATCTACTTCTCAGGGTTGTTGTAAGGAAGGATAAAATGAGCTAACATTTGTAAAGTGCTTTGCCAAATTTAAAGCATTATATAAATGCTAGCTGTTATAATGATGGTAGTGATACTAATTAATACTGATTATTTTCTGTTCCACTTGTGTAGTAACTCGGTACTTTTAAGAGTATTCCTTCATTCATCGAGTTCCCCAGTGATCCTATGAGAGAGGCAGGTTGGGGATCATCAAGCTCATTTTATAGATGAGTCTCATAATCTGAGGTTGTTAAGTTTGGATTCCCATTGAGAGGCAGCATGGTACAGTGGAAAGATCACTGACTCAGGAGTAGAGGAACTGGGTTCAAATCCTTTGCTCACTACTGGACCTGTCTGGCAAATCAATGATCTGATGCTCACTACTATTGTACCTTTGAGAACTTGGACACTTCAGGAATCTCCCTGGCCCTTAGTGTCCTCTAAAACGAGAGTTAGACCAAATGGGCTCTGTGGTCCCTTTCAGCTCTAATTTCAGGATCCTATGAGTTAACTGAGATTCAGTGGGATTAAGTGAGTTGCCTGAGGTCACATGGTCAATCAATAAGCATTTATTAAGACCTTACTATGTGCCAGGCCCAGCTCTAAACACTGAGGATACACAGAAAGACACAAACACAGTTCCTGACCTTCAGGAGCTCACACAGCTCATTAGCGACAGAGCCCCTAGCTTCAGATGTAGGCGTTTTCTTGTTAAAGAATTTTGTAGAAAGTCAGATTGAATCAAATCACACCACACTGTAACCTTTCACTGGATCTTTTAAGCTCATCAATGTGGACGCTTCCTCCAACCGTACAAATTAGGACCCTTCCACACCTACTCATCAGGCACCACTTTTGTCCATTTGTTCTTGTCGAGTCATTTCATTTGTGTCTGACTCTTCATGACCCTGTTTGGGGTTTTCTTGGCAGACATATTGGAGTGGTTTGCCATTTCCTCCTCCAGCTCATTTTATATATGAAGAAACTGAGGCAAATGGTGTTAAGTAACTTGCCCAGGGTCATACAGCTATTCAATGTTTGAGACCATATTTGACTTCAGATCTTCCTGACTCCAGGCCTGGCACTCTATCCACTGCACCACCGAGCTGCCCACTTTTGTCCATATCTTACCACAAATTCACCCTAGGGGGTCCATCCAATGTGCTGAGGGTGGGGAAGGGGAAAAGCAGGGATCTTCCTTTAGTTCATAGTTCATAGATTTTAGA